CTTATATGGTGCCATGATCTTTTGTGCTGCTGTGATAATGGTTTCCGGGGTAATCTTCGACCTGTCCGCTCGGCCACTGGCGTCGGGCTTGATCTCTGTGAGCTGGATGTAGAGGCGGGCGATTTTGTTCTCTCGTGGGATGATCATCATTGATCCGGAGGACGCGCTGTGGATAGCGCAGCGTTTGCGAACATCCGGAAAGTCTGTGATGGGGACAATGTCCAAGACGCCCCAGATGTGGTCGGTGGGCTCGCCTTCGAGCTCGAATCCTAGTTGCTTTCGCGTCCAGCTGTGAGCGCCGTCGCAGCCTACGACGTACTTGGCCTTTACGGTCTCAGTACTGCCTTGCTTCTGCTGGCTGTTGGCAATGAGGTCTTCAGTGTCGTCTTCTGCGAGATTGCTCCTGAACAGACCATCGTTGACTCCAGATCCTTTGCTTTGCGCTGGTTTGGCCTCGTCTTCCGTGAGATATCGGAGCTGGACTGTAACAGGGTAGTTGTCGGGCGAATGATCATCGACTCGATCCTTGGCGATATGTAGTGACTCCGGTAGCACCGCACGTTCGACGCGTAACGTATCCTTGGAGTGTTTCTTGATGTGATCGAGGAAGAACCTCTCAATCCGTCCCTGGTGGAGTACAATCTCTTTAAATCGAGAGAGACCTGGTGGTGTATCTGGAACTCCGTCTGAACGGCGTATCACACCATCTTCGCCGGGGTTCTGCGGATGTTAGGAAAGCTGGTAGTTTTGTCGAGTTTGACAACATACCCACATGCAAAACTGATTGTTGGTTAGCAAGGTTTACTCAAGTCATGATCGGTTGATGTGCATACCTCTATCAAGTGATTTGCTTCCTTCCAGGCTCTATCCGCGAAGCCAAAGCTATCAAAGATCTCCAGGCTGCGGAGCTGCAAACCATCTGCCTGTCCCGAGTAGATCTTTGTGCCACGCTTATCGACAACGCGAGCATTGATGCCACATCTTGCCATCCAAGCCGAGAGCATCAGCCTAAGACTCGGTCAGTTTTGAACAATGCCCATTGTTGTGGTGATCATTACCCTGCTGGTCCAGCACCAACAATAAGGCTTTGAACTCATTAGCTACATGTTCGCATTGCTTGACATCGGCAGACTAACACATCGCACTTCGACTCTGAGTTCTCTGGAACCGTCATCTTGTAGTCTCTTTGCCGTTGTCGCTAGAGTTGGTTGTTCGCGTGTATATACCTAGCTCAAAGGTTGCTTTCGACGCAAGATTGGCTATACACAGCACGAACGTGGCTTTCATCTAATATAAGACGGCCTCACAAACGCTCCGTCCCGCGCACCCCAGTAATCTCACACTACGGCAATGCTGTTCGGCGTGTCGCACCGCCCACATCCCGGCGTTGTCGACGCGATCTGGTGCGTGGCTACCCCACATCACGCCAAGCCGATTTGGACCGTATGACGTATGGAACGGCTTCCTGAGTTCGTGATTCGCGCATCTCAGTGTGGGCCTGAAGGTAAGCGCAAAAACGTTTTGGGGTTTGTCAGACGTTTGTCAGGTGGATGAGGTTGAGGAGGAGTTGAAGATGTGGATGTGGATGCAGCCGTCCCGGGTGCGGCTGCGCTCCTTCCATCGTGCGTCCAAGGCGCAAGGAGTGTGGGTCCTTGGTCATGCTTGGTAAACGAGAGGCTCTGGCAGCGGTCGGATTATGCAGCCAGGTGGCACGGTCGAGCTTGCTTTGATCAAAGTTCTACGTTAAGAAAGATTGTGTTGCACAGGCGTAGTTGCTGGCCAGCTACGTAGGAGCAAATTCTGCTATTGAGACGGGGTCATGACGTACATACATCAGCGACGGCGACTTAGGTGCACGTCACCGACCCTATAGCTTTAGCTAGTCAAGTAGGAAAGTGTCGCTTCTCTGAACTCCCAATTCCCATCAATCTTCGAGAGGCCACCAACATGTCCACAAACTACGACTTCAAAACCGCCCTCGTGACCGGCGCAGGCGGCGGCATCGGAAAGGCTCTCGCGCAACAGTTCATAAAAGATGGGAAGAGAGTCATCATCGCCGGCCGCACAGAGTCAAAACTCCAAGAAGCTGCAAAAGAAATCGGAGCAGCAGCTTACTACGTGCTCGATACCGGAGACGTCAAGTCTATCCCGGCCTTCGTCAAGAAGCTGATTTCCGAACATCCGGATCTGGACTGTCTCGTCAACAATGCCGGTGTGCAGCGTCCGCTTGATGTCAACGAAATGGATCCAGAAGAATTCGGAAGCAAGGCCGATCAGGAAATCGACATCAACCAACGTGGACCAATGCATCTCACATTGCACCTCCTCTCACACTTCAAGTCCAAGCCAATGGCACTCGTCGTCAACGTATCTTCCGTCCTCGGCTTCGTTCCGTTCTCCCTCGTCAATCCCGTATACTGCGGTACCAAAGCATGGCTGCACTTCTGGTCAATGAACCTACGCGCTCAGTTAAAAGATACCAAGGTCAAGGTCATCGAAATCGCGCCGCCAACCGTAGCGACGGATTTGCATCGTGAAAGGAAGGATCCGGATGACAACAAGAAGGAGAAGAATCAAGCTGCGTTGAGTGTCGAGGAGTTTACGGAGGAGACGATAGGGAAGTGGAAGAAAGGAGATGAGATGATCGCTGCGGGTCCTGCGAACAAGATTGTAGACACTTGGCAGGAGAATATGGGACCGATTTTCCAGAGCATGGCCAAATAGTCATGGCGCCCCAAGGAATTGATGTTTAGTTAATGAGACATGTGCTTTGTTCTGAAGTGACCTAGTGATATGACCTCGGGATGATGCGCGCACGTATCTCTTACCGCAGGCGCGCTCGATGCCCAGGTGTGAGCTGCAAGCGGCTAGCGTGATGCCTGAACGCCAACCTCAGACGCGATGCCAGCCATCTGAGTTTCAAAGGCGCGTCGAAAAAGTAACACAACAAGTTCTCTGACTCCAGAGCCCGATTCCAATCCTGGGTGATGATCCTGATGATCGTAGTTGCCAGCAGGCGGGACTCAATCTCAAACTCCCTGGTTACTCGCGCTCTTTCCTGACCCGCGACTCGCTCTCAAATACCTCTTCCGCCGCCACCTCATACCAGCCCACCGACTCAAGCTCACACACGTCAAACATCCCGTCCCGGTAAACGCCGCAAAAATGGAGAAATACCACCCGCGACCTACAGCGCGCACCAGAGGATCAATGATAGCAGCAGACGCAGCACTAAACGCGCCACGGGCAAGCTGACCCGACGCATACGCCGTGCTCGGTACCTCAGGAAACACATCCACGAGCAACGCGTTCGCAGTATGACTCAGCAGAGTAGCCAGTGCGGAAACGAAGAACTCCAAGATCAGAGGAACGGCAGGGTGAGTGTGTTGTTGCACCGTCCATCCATAGCCTGTGACCAGTGCCGTCTCGATTAGAATCAATGGAACCATATTCCTGAACCGAGCGCGTTCGATCGGGAAATCCAGGATATTTGCTGGGTCGACAATCTCGGCTTGACGCGCATGATACGCGTAGTTGATGTCCATGAGTTTGCCGGCTATCGTTCCGCCAATCGTCATGCCAGCCAGCGCAGGTAGGAAACTGAGTCCAATTTGTAGTTCGTTGTAGTTGTAAAGTTCTTTGAAGATGACTGAGTGGGCCACTTGGAAGGTATAGTAGATTCCGTAGGACGAAGCGACCATCCAGAGAATCACAGCAGCGTCCGGATGACGGATCATTCGTATAGAGTCGAAGATCCTCGAGAGCGTCTGGGAAGGCCTAGGCATCGCATTTCGCTCCGTGACAGTGGACGCCGACCGATCGCTACCCTTGCGCCCGAGAAGCGATATCCAAGTCCGCCAAACCCCCGTGGCAGGCCTCCCTCCATTCCCCACAATCCCCCTCGACGTCTCCGGCAGCACAAACCCAACAAGAAGAAGACACAAAATCGCAATCCCCAACAGCGCCATAAAAACACCCATATGCCCCGTCGACTTCATCGCCAACGCCCCGCCAATAACCGGTCCAAACGCCGAAATCCCATTACAAGTCGACAACATCGGTCCCAACATCCCCCCTCTTTCCGACACCACAGCAACATCAGCCACAATCCCATACGCAATCGGCACCGTCGCCGAACCACCTATACTCTGAAACGCCCGCAGCGTAATCAACACCGGATAACTGCTCTTGTTCAACGCGAGACCCAGACTCGCTAGCGTGTACGTGGTAACGAGACAAAGTAGTACGGGTCGGCGGCCATAGGAATCTGCCAGAGAACCGAATATACCCGGGGATATGGCTTGGCAGATTGCGTAAACGGTTACGGTTAGGTTGATGGCTTGGATGGAGACGGAGAAGTGGGTGCTGAGGGTGGGGATGAGCGGGAAGTAGATTGTTGTTGTTAGGGTGGAGATTAGTTGGATTATGCCGAGGATGTAGGTTAGATAGGTGCGGGTGGATTTTGGGAAGGCGGAGTAGGGCTCTGCTGCGTTGTTTGGAGTTGGCTGGTTGGTCTTGGGTGCTGTGGTCCTTTTTGGGGGGTTGTTTGGTGGTGCGATGTTTTGCAGTGGTGTTATTTCTGGGGACGGCGGCATGGTGCGCGGTGAGTATAGAGAAGTCCTCTACATCTCGATTTGTGGGCACGCGACATGTTACTATATGAAGAGATAGAAAGCATGCAGTCCGGAGATCAAGCCTCGCTTACTCGACATCAAGCCGTGCTACCCGAGACGCCCAGCTCAACCATCATACATGATTGGAAGAGGAGAGCCGTCCGGAGGAGAGTCGTCCGACTTGGCCTGCGCCCTACGTCGTCATTTCCCCAAGCTCGGTGGAATTCATGTGCCCAGATTAGAAGCATTCATCCCGGCCGCGGATTCCTTCCAACTGCCTCCGTCTCGAAACAGCAGGCCGATCAAGACAACCCGCAAAATAACTCACGACATGAACACCGCACCGCGGATCTACTGTCACCAAAATCCATGCTCAATTGTAAGAGATCAATCGATATCCAAACCCTCCCTCAGAACCCTCACCCTCCTCTCCAGCTCCTCCGTATCCCAAGCCCTACCCTCAACCCATTCCTTCACCTCCGCTACCATCTCCCACCACTCTCCCTGTTCACTCGTATGGCCCTTTTCCTTCGCTTCGTTCAACACGCGCCGCGCTTCACGCACAACGTGCCAAAACCTGTGTACCGTGTCTGCATCAGGAAACATCGGACTGCTCCCTTCCGTATCGACTGATGTGGTTTGGGTGACAGGTGGTGAAAGGAGACGATGCGCCGCCGTAGGATAGTAAGGCTGGTAGAAGAGAGAAGAGGTACTATTGTACCATTCGCGGGGTTGGTAGATTGCTTTTTCGAGGTGGTGGGGGCGGGCTAGGGTAGTTTGAAAGGCTGTCGCTACCACACTGAATTCCTCATCTTCATCTCCGTTGTCTGGCAAGTTGTATATCATCTCCATGGCTTCAGTCAAGATACGCAGTGAGCCTCCGCTAACCCGGATGAAGAAGACCTTCGTATTTAGTTCTTCGCTTTCGGATTTCGTGGCGATGATAGAGAGGATCTTGAATGTTTCGACGTCTGTGATGGGTGGGAGGAAGTGGTGGAGTGGTATGTGTGGATTTGCGAGGATGACGGTAGTCTCGTGGTAGAGTATCCATTCTTTTTGATCTTCGATTGGTTTTTGGAGTTCGGTGATGATGAGTGACTGGAGGTAGAGGAATTTGTTTAAAGCGCCTCGCACGATAGGTGTTTGGAGAATGTGGCTTGCGTATCCGAAGTTTTGAGTGTGGAGATCATCGAGGGCGAGAGTGCCTGTATCGGGTTTCCTGAAGTCGTATAGTATCGTTGCTTTTGCGATCCGAAGGTCTGACTGCGATCTTGTAGGCGCCCAGGGTATGGATTGGGGTATAGCGTTGGGGAAATTTGGGGTAGCAGATGTATTCGATGGAATAAGGTTGAAGATTGAGCAACCGAAGAACACATGTGAAATGACGAGAAGCAGTATGACTCCGATAACTAGTCGAGTCTTTTTGCAGTATAGGCGCAGTAATAGAGGAGCCGATGGCATATTTGTAGCCTCGATGCTGAACGATTTGGCTTCGGGAGAAGATGCGAAGCCCATAGTGTGGAGAGATAGCCTGGTAAAAGTCGTCACAATCAGTAGAAATTGATACTCCACTGTTAGTGAAGGTGAGTACATCAATATGAGCTAACTCCTCACCCAAGAAGCGTTTGCACGATTGTACCATTAGTGAAAGAGGGAAATTCATTCATTCAATTTCGTAAGCAATTTTCGCGGTCCAGTCTCGCTGATACCGGTCCTGCAAACGCAGCACTTGAACTACCTAGGTAGGTAAGAGAGCAACTAACAAAAGCCTCTCAGGGTATACATATTCCGCGCATCGCCGCTCTGCTGCAGAGAGGGCGAGCCATCGCTCTAGAAGATCTTACTCTGCCTTCTTTTCCTCAGCAGCCTTGGCCTCTTCAGCTTTCTTCGCCTCCTCCTCAGCCTTCTTGTCCGCCTCGTCCTGAGCCTTAGCCTCCTCATCCGCCTTCTTCTGCTCCTCGGCATCTTTCTTAGCAGCCTCTTCCTCTGCCTTCTTCGCATCTTCCGCCTCCTTCTTCGCGGCCTCCTCTTCAGCCTTCTTCTCCTGCTCAGCCTCCTGCTTAGCAGCCTCATCAGCCTTCTTCTGCTCCTCTTCCTGCTTCTTAGCCTCCTCAGCGTCGGCCTTGGCAGCTTCCTCCTCAGCCTTCTTCTGCTCTTCCTCTTGCTTCTTAGCCTCCTCTTCCGCCTTCTTGGCTTCCTCCTCAGCGGCCTTGTCGTCGGCGTTGTCCTCGCCATCCTTGTTGTCGTCCTGGCCGTCTTGACCCTCAAGAAGCGCCTTCAACTCCTCAGCAGCAATCTGTTCGTTGAGCTTGTTGTCCGCTTCGTCGTTCTGCGCATCTTGGAGGTCCTGGAGAGCACCCTGCCAGATAGCACCGAGAGTCGCAGCTGGGTCCTCGGCAACAGCCGACCAAGTGGGCTTCGCACCGAAGAGCTGGATACCAGCTGTCTTGGTGGGCATTGCGCCGTCCAACGCGCCAGTCGCGCCTGCGATACCGCCGAAGCCACCGAGCTTACCGAAGGCGTCGCCGCCGAGAATGTCCTGGGCGATCAGCGTGCGACTGTCGAAGACCATGACAGTCTGTGTCTCACGGGCGCCGCGGTTAGCAACAACGGCGGACTGAGCGAAGATGTTCTGCTGGACTTGGTTGCCGCGGCCGTCGTCGATGGCGATCTGGATCTCCTGCACAACAAGGGTAACAGTTGCGACATCGCGGAACTGGTTCTGGAAGTTGCTCTTGCGGAAGAGGTTGTTGAGGTCGTTGTTGAAGCCGTTGTTGACCTGGTCGACGATGAGGACTTGCTCCACTTGCTGGACGACGGCTTGTTGGCGTCCGTTGTCGATGATCTGGAGGTTCTCTTGCTGGATCTGGATTACTTGTTGTTGCTGGTTGAAGTTGTTGAAGCCGTCGATGAAGTTGAAGGCGCCGTCGTTGCCGTTGAAGCCGTTGACGACGGAGTTGAAGCCGATTTGGCGCTTGGCAGGGGTGTTGATGGGCTTTGCGGCTGTGAACGGTGGGTTAGTATGTTGTGCTACATGGTTGAGTGTTTGGTTTGGAGAACTTACCAGCGAGACCAGCCGCAAGCGCGATAGTAGCAATAGCCTTGATAGACATGTTGATGATGAAGTAGTCCTGAAAGGGTAAAGACGGTAGTATCGTGATTAAAAAGAAGGTAAAGATTAAACGTCACAGACGTGTGTGTATAAAAGGTTCAAAGAAAGTGGTAATAAGCAGACTATCAAAGTCGCTAAAAGAATCGAAAGCGGGAATTAAGGAAGGAAGGACTGAAGAAGGCCGGAAGAAGAGTGAGTGTGGGATGAGAAAGTAAACTCATGCGTCCTTCCTTCAGCTTTTATCCAACCACTGCCATCGACAAAACGACGTCGTTAATGCCCAGGAACAACATCGATATGTCGGTACTTGCCTTTGCCGCCCCTGTATTGCCGTAGAGATGTGACACACGTACCATCGTAGCCTTGGGTGCCTCAGTAACTCGCCACATGGACACTTTGCTACCGGCGCACTCCACTCCCGTATCTTGCCAAGACAGATGATGTGCAACTAAAACGGTTGCCAAGATTTGCTTGACTGTTTTGTCCTGATTGCCTTGCGACCTGAGGCCTTGTTGTATGAGCCTTGGTGTAGCGGAGCCGTGGTATCCGATCGGGAGCCAAGGCTGGGGTTGCTGCTTCATGCCTTAGCGACATCCTCAGGCAGTATTTTCGGCGATTTTCGGTTACGCTGGGCAGGGGAAGGGGACACTGATCTGCGTGAGACGGAACTAGGGATTCCACCCGCTGCATCCGTCTCGTGAGACGACTTCAATCAGATATTCAGAGTCGTGATATCAGATACCCAGCCACCCAAAGTACCACTCAGATTCATTGCAATCGGATCATCACGAGACCAACGCACCCACAAGAAGAGAGATGAATTCCACCACCTCCCCTCCACCTCCCCTCCACCTCCCCCACCCACCCTGTCGCTGCTTCATGCCTTAGCGAAGTCCTGAGGCAGTATTTTCGGTGATTTTCGGTTACGCTGGGCATGCTGATCTGCGTGAGATGGGACTGTGCTGCGTTCAAGTGCGACTGTGCTGCGTGTGGAGATGGAAAGGATGCTTGGTGGTTGTGCGCGTACACGCGAACCGTTGTCGTAAGACCACTATGCGATACCCAAGCTACCGCCATACTTGCTCTTCTTGTCGATAAGAACGCCATCCTTCGTGTTCATGCTCCTCACTTACTGTTCATGCCGATAGCAAACGCTTCCCTTTGTGCTGATACCCACGAGTCGATGTTACCGCACCACTACCACCCCCATATGCACCCCTAACCCCCCAATCACAATCACCTATATCACCACTCACCACCTCGTACTACCCTGACTCTTCCTGCTGCCACTCCGCTACTTCCCGCTTGACACCTGTCTCCTCTGTCGAGGTGATGAGTGAACACCACACGCTGCGACGCACCTGAAACCCCACCAGTTGAGAAAACGCACCAGCCACGTTGCAGATCCCCGACAAGGGACACGCATATCGTCGATATCGTATATGCATTATGGCCAGGCCAGGTGTTCGTCTTTTTCTCGGATGCCTTGTCTTCCTGAGGCTAACGTGCTTGATCGACGGTAACAGGCTGGGTAGATCGTCTTGCGCTCGGTCTTGGTTGCAAGTCGGAGAAATCTTGACTCCCTGTCGTGCCTGTCTATATTTAGTGGAGTTGCTCAACTTCCTCATTGCAGGCAAGGATGGATGGGTAGATGGAGATGAAGGAGAAGAAGAAGAAGAAGAATTGTCGTATCGAAAGGTTACTCAATCGTCAATCTCTGACCTGGATATCTACACACGACGCATCAATACTCCTGATAACCTTCCACTACACGCATGTAGTAACCGCGCTTCTCGTTCTTCCTCTCCAATGAACCGAGTCTTTGCAATCCATGTGACCAAAAGACGCTCACAGCAATGAAAATTCGAGAAAGCGAATCCCTCATTCCAACTTCAAAAACGCGCGCCATTGTATATAAACCCTTCTCCAGAACGCCTACTAATGCCTTCTTGCCGCGCCACGTGTTACGACATAAAGAGAATCCTGGGGAATACCCCTGAGCTCCGAAGGGAGCCTGTAGGAAGAGTGAGGAATTGAGGCCAACTCGATAGTGCGAGGCAACTAGTCTCTTGTAACACAAAATTCATAGCCCCAAAAGGAGATTGAGAACCATTTTACTGGTAGACCGGATGGAGGGATCTACTCATCATCCGAGTCGGTGTCAGTGTCGGTTTCACTCTCAGATTCGACGTCGCCTTCGGTGTCACTGCCGCTGCTATCATCGTTGGTGATTTGTTTCCGCTTCTTTGGTGGGGCACCGGTCTTCATTTGGTGCATTTGGCCTGCCAATGAATCTGCGGATGTGTTAGCATTGTTACATACGCTTGATATAAGATTGTCTTACCCTCTTCTGGTTCGCTGATCTCGTCTTCCTCTTCTACCTCTTCCGCTTTACTGGCATCCTCGACAACAAGGGTAACCTCCATCTTGGTGTCCATGCCGATGTAACTATCACAGATCATGTGCATGACAAAGGTGTAGCTGCCGGGTTGTGGTGGTGCGCCGAACTGCATCTTAAGAGTCTGTACGTTGTAGGTAGGGTTACCGCTCTCATCAAGGATGGGCTTGTCGAAAGTCGAGAAAGTAAATGGTGGTACGGCGATACGTCCCTGCTTGCTGTCTGCAAGGAACACATGCCATCTTGGCGCGTGGTCGCGAGCGTAGTATGGAGCGAATGCTAGAGGTGGTTGGATGGGCTTCTCTCCAGAACGGTCGTTCTTACGTCCGGTAATTGCTGCGACATCGCCTTCCGCGGGATCGATGTCTAGTAGGTCCTTCGGGTTGACTTCGGGGACGTTGGTGGCAGCGGTCGGGATGAAACGACCCTTGAGTACGAACTGGACCAAGCTGCTAGGTGTGACAAAACGCTCACCAACAACCTTGAAGAATGCCTTTTCGAGGTGGAACATTGGGATGCGCGAGGCTACCGTCATGGCTGTGCTGTATTGTTCTTGGGATAGGAGACCAGGCTTGACAACACGAGCCTTACGTTCAGCTTCGGGTACTTGCATAAACTCTTGAATGGTCAAGTGTGACTTTGCTCGCGCAGCCTCAGCCGCGCTGGCAACATCGGGTGTGAAATGTGGCAGCTGCTCAAGCGGTGATGCGCCGGGTCGTAGAGCTTGGATGAGATTCTGGGAGGTCCTGTAAGCCGACAGTATCGCCTTGGTGTTGCCGTATGCGAGAGCGATAGCGGTGTACGCTTCGTTGAGTCGGAGTGCGATTGGCGCGACCTCGAACTTTTCGTCGTTCAGAGTCTCGTCATCGAGTTCAACGCGGCCGAGGTATGCCCACAACAAAGTCAGAACCTTGCGTCTCCGGCTGTCTTCCAGATCATCTAGCTTCTGTCGGTCCTTCTTGGTGAGTGTTTGCGCAATGAGAGATCCAGAGTTCTCGGAGAGGA